ACAACTGATTCACTTAATAAGCACTAAGGTCCTATTGATGAAAGAGTGTGGAGCAGACACAGGTGGCCTGGTAGACAGTAGATGATCCTTCCTCCAAGGAGGCATCCAAATGTTGGAGGAACAAATGTTCTTCAAACACCTGTCATACCTAGCAGAATAAGCACTGTACAGGGAGCAAATGCAAATGGGGGAAGCACAGAGGAAGCAGTCAGTCCTAGCTGGGCGTGGGGGCAGGAGAACCTTCGTGGGAGAGACACTGAATTGGTCCTTGAAAGAGAATTGGGAAGGAGACCTTGCTAGGGTGAGGAATGAACACAGAAATCGCAAAGTGCATGCAGTGTTCAGGTATGGCCAGCTCGTCACACACAATGGAATGAGATGGAGGTTAAAAGGTAGACATTAGTACAAATCCTGGCTCTGTGTCTTCTTAGCCGTCACCATAACTTAATTTGATGCCTTCCACTTTTAAATCTGCAAGGCAAAGCTAATGACGTGGAGATATGAGGGTTTTTTTTTTTTTTGTTTTTGAGACGGAGTTTCGCTCTTGTTACCCAGGCTGGAGTGCAATGGCGCAATCTCGGCTCACCGCAACCTCCGCCTCCTGGGTTCAGGCAATTCTCCTGCCTCAGCATCCTGAGTAGCTGGGATTACAGGTACAGGCCACCATGCCCAGCTAATTTTTTGTATTTTTAGTAGAGACGGGGTTTCACCATGTTGACCGGGATGGTCTCGATACCTCATGATCCACCCGCCTCGGCCTCCCAAAGTGCTGGGATTACAGGCTTGAGCCACCGCGCCCGGCCCCGATATGAGGGTTAAAAGAGAGTGTATATAAAGGTCCAGCCTTACCCTAGGGCTGTAAATAGATGTGCTCAAAACATCGTAATGGACGGATCTGCTGGAAAATGACTAGGATAGGACCCTGATCAAGAGAGCCTTAAATTCTTTGTTAACTATTTCACACTTTAGGGAACGTGAAAAATCCTTGGGAAAGAACAGGGTATAATCTAATTTATCTTTTGAAAAGATGATTTTATTCAACCCGAGGAAATCAGAGTGTTTCTTTGAAACGCAGTCTCATTCTCACCAGGTTGGAGTGCACTGGTGCGATCTTGGCTTACTGCAGCCTCCACCTCCCGGGTTCAGGTGATTCTCCTGCCTCAGCCTCCCAAGTCCAAGTAGCTGGGACTACAGGCGCACACCACCATGCCCAGCTAATTTTTGTGTTTTTAGTAGAGACGGGGTTTCACCATGTTGGCCAGGAGGATGGTCTCGATCTCTTGACCTCATGATCTGCCTGCCTCGATTTTCCAAAGTGTTGGGGTTACAGGCATGAGCCACCATGCCCAGCCAGAGTGTTTATGTCGATGGCCTCATTTGGAGGCTGAGCACAACTTCAAAGTCAGGCTGTTTTTCTGTGCTGGAAATAAAGACTGTACCAAAATATCGATTGAATGTACTTTTCATGGACTCTTTTTTCTCTAAGTGGAACGCTATATTATTTTGATACAACTAAAGACAGCTTTTTAGTTCTAATTGCCATTTTGTTATAATACTGCTGCCTTATATTAGAAAAAATAAAACTGCCCAAAATTAGCTTCAGGATCGCAAAAGGGAAAGATGTGACTATTGATCAGTTTTTCTTCTACTCTTGAAAAGCTACTTGTTTCTAAGCTTTGTCTGATAGCTAGCAGTATTCTGATCCATTTATAAGAAAATGCTATACTGCAGATCATCCAGTACATATGTTTCCCCTCCAGTATTTGTTATACTACCAAAAATAAATGCTCACCCACAGATAATGATTTGATTATGAGGCTTGCGTTTGCTCTGGGAATACACTTCGGGGCTTCAGTACCAAACGCTCTTTTCTGGCTCAGTCTTACATAGCAACTTTTCAAAGGACATGAGTCAAGTTGTGAGCATTATGTGGCTTTCTCTGATGCCCTAGGAATGGGGATGGGGAAGTAGTGGTGCACGTTCATGAGCTGGGTGTGTTTGACCACATTCCCACTATGAAACGTAGGAGTGCTGATACAGTGTTCGTCTCCGGGCACGATAATGTACCTAGCATCTGTAGGTTAAAGTATACCCTCCTCTTTCCACCAAGATTATGATTATGATAAGACACATGGAAAATAGAGTAGTGCTAATACCCAAAAGTCAAAAAAGGAGGGGAAAACAAATAGGCTGATCACCACATCTAACAGTTACTCAAGTCTGATTCTGAATTTCCTAGCATCCGAGGCAAAAAGGGAAACAATTATTGTCATCTGATAGATAACACTGCGCACCCTTGTTATATTCTGGGAAGCTATACTTCAGGAGACAAGTTACTTTTCCTTTTGTGTAGGGTGAATATAATGAACACAGCATGGCCTGATAGAGCTCGTTCAGGCTGGAGATGCCGAAAGACTCTGCAGGACAGATGCTGGATTTGTAACTATCGTTTAGAACCTTACACTAAGTACAGGTCCCTTCCAAGAAGGCCCACAGGCGTGTTTTAGGGGTAAGTGAGGTGGTGAATGAATGGTACGAGCAAGGAGAAGACTGGGTCACCAGCGCAGGGCAGTAGGTGGGCCTTCTGCTCCCAGGCTTGGCCTCTTTGCTCTGCTCTCTAAGGGCCTTGGAGACTCGTTTTTCCTGGGGTGGTTATCTCAGAGTAAACACGGTATGCCCACATCCCCTTCCTTGCTGGCTTCCCCTCTTCCTGGGGAGGCTTTACTGACAGACACTGTCAGAAACCTATGGGAATGAACAAGCATGGATAGGAAATTTTCCAGAACTGCCCCCAAAAGACCTTAAGTTTAGTAGTGCTCGGCAGCTCTTGCTCACCTTTTCTTCTCCTCTGATGAGTTAGGAACGAAAAGCCTCAGTGGACATTTGTTCTGTGTTTAGTCCTAAAATTAGGGCTTCCTGCTGCTGCTTCAGAACTCAGCATCCCCCTTCTCCCCAGAAGAGGAAACTGTGAACCCTTCCTTCAAGAAGGCCTGCTTCTGCCAGGCACAGTGGCTCATGCATATAATCACAACACCTTGGGAGGCTGAGGTGAGAGGATCGCTTGAGCCCAGGAGTTCAAGGTGCCAGTGAGCTAGTGATTGCGTCATTGCACTCCAGCCAGGGTGACAGAGAGACGTGTGTGTGTGTGTGTGTACACATGTACATATTTAAATTTAAAAGGTGTGGTTCTTACTCCTGGGCCTGGAGAGGTAAGGGGGCAGATATTAAATGGACACTTTCCTTTCCCAGACTTGCTCATTTTCAAGGTACACGGGGTCCCCAGAGACTCTCTCCTCCTCTTAGAAATAATCTGTTTTGGGTGTTGCCTCACATCCCTCCACAGTTTCCTCCCCAGGGACTGTGACTGTCCTTGCCCTGCAATTGGTGCTCATGTAAAGTTGGTCTATTTTCATCACTGTAGCCTTCCCTTCCTTTCAAGGAACATTCGTGCTGAATCTGGCCTTTCCCCACCTTTAATTCTTACGTAGATTTAGTACTTAGAAATCTTTACTGGGTCAGGTGAATTTTGTAAAGGATTAGTTTGTATTTATTGGAAGTGTGATTTATAAGCTATTTTGAAGAAAGATATGTTTTTTTTAAGTGCACATAACTCAAAGTAGATTACCACTGTTGCCTAGTAGAGGCTTAATGAAAAGATAATTATTTCTAATTACAGTATCAAGTGTTTGTGAGTGCTTGAGGATGCTTGAAGAATTTGTTTTTGAGAATCTTAAACACTGCCTAATCTCCTTTGCACTATTAATTCACAGTGTCTGGAGAAAGAGTTGGGTCCTCGAAGATATGTGTACTCTAGCTCCTGTTCCAAATGATCCCTAATTGCGGAGTTATGAGATTTTACTTTACCTTTCTTTTTTTTTTTTTTTTTTTTGAGATGGAGCCTGTTATCCAGTGATCTTGGCTCACTGCAACCTCTGCCTCCGGAATCCAAGTGATTCTCCAGCCTCAGCCTCCCGAGTAGCTGGGATTACAGGCGCCTGCCACCACACCCGGCTCTTTTTTTTTTTTGCATTTTTTAGTAGAAACAGGGTTTCACCATGTTGGCCAGGCTGGTCTCAAACCCCTGACCTCAAGTGATCCACCCACCTCAGCTTCCCAAAATGCTTGGATTACAGGTGTAAGCTACTGTGCCCAGAATTCTTGATGCTACAGAATTTCTTTTGTCAGTGATGCCAAGAGAGGAAGAAGGGGGGATGCGAGGAATAAAACCTTTCTGGAAAAACTATTGACTCAGTTCCCGTGCTGTACACGGTGTACTTATTTAAAGTTCAGAGCGTACTATTGTCAGACCTGAACTATGAAAGGAAATGTTCCTTGTCTAAACAAATTAGAACAAACACTATACTAAGACACTCTCCTAATAAAATGTCCTTCTGGATACCCTATGAAGATCCTTAAGATTTTTCTTCTCCAGCACACAGTGGAAGAAAGTACAGGTTTCTTCTAGCAAATGTAGGTATTGAATATTCTGTGTTGGTGTCCCATGAAAGTATTAATATGTTTCTAGTAACAGATGACAAGGAGTCTTACCCAGCCTCTGGAGTTATTTTTCCAGTATAGGTTAGCTCTGTAAGCAAGGACGCTGGGATCCAGTGTTTCAGTTAGCTTCCCTGGGTTTGCTGTTCACTCACTTTGGCTAGACATTTTGCAAATGCAAGTAAGGTGTGACCCCAGGATAGAAAGAGGGAGCTGGGCTAGTGGTATCTTATATATTTCCTTTTATTTACTTTTTTGAGACAGGGTCTCCCTCTGTTGCCTAGCCTGCCAGGCTGGAGTGCAGTGGTGTGATCTGTGCTCACTGCAACCTCCGCCTCCCAGGCTCCTGACCCTCCTGCCTCAGCCTCCCAAAGTAGCCAGGGTAACAAGTGCATGTCACCATGCTTGACTACTTTTTGGGTTGTTGTCGTTGTTTGGTAGAGACAGGGTTTTGTCATGTTGCCCAAGCTGTTCTCAAACTCTTGGGCTCAAGCAATCTCCCCTCCCAAAGTGCTGGGATTACAGGTGTGAGCCACTGCACCCAGCCACTATATATTATATTTTGGTTTTTTTTTTTCCCCTACAAGGAAGCACCATTTTAATTTAAAGAAAAAAATATCAGAAATTGTCTATAAGAATAATGGAGCAAAACAAGTCCTGAAATAAAGTTCTGCATCTTGGTGGTCATATTTATTGGAAGAACTTTAGAAAAATTAAAATGCCATTTAGCTTAAGAAGTTGTGAGTTATCTGCAAATCAATTCAGGAGTGGGAGAATCCCTAGAATTATTTATTAATATCAGAATGTATGCAGGTTTCTCTTTTGAATGTCTTGTACATTTAGAGGCTACTGTACGAAGTCTCCTATTTTCCATACAGGACAAATTCTTTGTTTCACCCAACTTTCAGTGGAGAGGTAACCAGCACAACCATCTCCCTAGACAAAGAGCGTTGGAATATTCGGTTTCCTTGATTTATATATCTCTTCGTATGTTTCTTCATCAATTTCTATAGTATCAGTTTCTTCCACATTTTCCAAGATCATATTTAAATGTTCATAAGCATGTGATCTGCCTCGAAGCTCTTGGTCATTTCTCATTTTCACATAAACTCGCTCATCTAAGCTGAGCCGGATAACATCCATGGGCTCCTCTCCAGTGTCGGTAGTTTGTTGCTGGTCCGTGTCTTCCGCCATGTTTCAAGCCCTGCGCCCTTTCCCACTTCTCGCGAGAACACACGAGCAACTCCCATCTCAGAAACGTGAGGACACAACCACCTTGTTTCTGATAGAAAAGTGCCTGTTCTTCTGGGAGAACACCCAAAGGCACCCGCTGTGGGCCCATACTGAGCAGTACGTGGGTCTCCCAGCTGTATCACCCAGCACAGAGAAGGGCGTCCTCCCTTCCCTCCAGGCAGATCCAGGGCTCAGCTGTCGTTTGCCTTTTCCCACTTGTCCAGGTATGAACCTCTCACTTGCTAGATCCTTAGGGCTTCTTTCTCCAGAGGTCCTTTATCTTTTATCTTCTGCTTTTATCTCATTCTCTCTCTTCTATTAATGATTGTAAATGTGTGGGAATTGTTCCAATACAAGCGGTAAGCTTTTTTATCTTCATAAAGTTATTAGGCCCAAATCACTGTTTATATTTTAGAATATGGACCAAAGCAAGTCACTTGAAGCCAGGAGTTCAAGACCAGCCTGTCCAACGTGTGAAACCCTGCCTCTGCTAAAAAAAAAATTACAAAAATTAGCCGGGCATGGTGGCGCGTGCCTGTAATCCCAGCTACTTGGGAGGCTGAGACAGGAGAATTGCTTGCATGTCGGAGGTTGCAGTGAGCCGAGATCTTCACACTGCATTCCAGCTTGGGTGACAGAGAGTGACTTTGTCTCAAAAAAAAAAAAAGATTAGATTTTATGGACTATGTCAAACATGATTGGTGTGGCTCCAGGAAGCCACACCAGGCCTGTAGACACAAAGTTACAGCCAGGATGATTTCAAGTTCAGCCCGAGGGAGAATTTTCTGACAGAGTAGTCTAAACCAAGCCCAGATTGTCCATGCAATGTCTGACCATGTCAGGGGCATTGCAGAGGTTCTCACAAGGTCTGGGGCCAAGCTGGCACGACTTGCTAAGTCTTGCCTATTTCATAAACCTGAGTTTAGCCCCACCCAAGCTATTTATTACTCATGGGCTTCAAGAAACATACCCTTTACAAGCCTTGGTTTTCTCATAAAGGGGGGTTGGCGTGAAGAATATATGAATGCATAAAAAAATCTTCAGCGCAGTGCCTGACTCACAATAAAAGTATTCAGTCATTGTTAGGCAGGTAGGCTCTGGAGACAGACACCCTAGATTTCCAGCCTGGCTCTGCTGGTTACTAGCTGTTTACCTGCAGGCAATTTACTTAACTTCTCTGTGACTAGTTTATAAAATAGAAATTATAGTAGAACCTACCCCAGAGAGTTTTTAACAAGTAAGGTACTTTCATGATATTTTACCTCCTGGACTTGTAATAGGATTATACTTCCTTGTCCCCTAGAAGTCAGGTAGGGCCAGTGTAATGAGTGGAGAAAGTGTCTCTTTTAGAGAACATCCAGATGGTAGAGGCTCTACCATTACCTGGGTTCCTCCATTGACTCACAGCCAACTTTTTAGCATTTGCAAGGAATAAACCTTTCTTTTATATCCACTGAGATTTTGACATTAATACCATGGCAAAGCCTAACATGTTCTAGTCGGCATATCATGGAAGCAGCCTAGACCAGAGGTTTCCAATCTTTTGGCGTCCCTGGACTACATTGGAAGAAGAATTGTCTTCTTCCATAAAATACACTGACATTAACAATAGCTGATGAGCTTAAAAGAAATTGCAAAAAAAGTCTCATATTGGCCAGGCATGGTGGCTCACACCTATAATCCCAGCACTTTGGGAGGTGAAGGCAGGCAGATTATCTGAGATCAGGAGTTTGAGACCAGCCTGGCCAACATCGTGAAACCCCATCTCTACTAAAAATACAAAAATTAGCTAGGTGTGGTGGTGAGTGCCCATAGCCTTAGCTACTTGGGAGGCTAAGGCCGGAGAATCGCTTGAACCCAGGAGGCGGAGGTTATGGTGAGCCAACGTTGAACCACTCTACTCCAGCCTGGGTGACAGAGTGAGACTGTCTCAAAAAAAAAAAAAATCGCATACTGATTTAAGAAGGTTTACAAATTTGTATTGGGCTGCATTCAAAGCCATCCTGGCCCATGGGTTGGACAAGGTTGGCCTACACTCTAGAACTGAAATAGAGTTCAGCTAAAATAATTAATAGTAAAAAAATGTCAGTGATATTGACTTACATACCAAGGCCACAAGGACTTGTAAAAGCCTTCAGGTATTGAACATGCAGGTTCTTGTGGACCTGTGCCTAAATCTTCACTTACATGTACTTGGAAATACCTGTTGCCTTGGAAATGCCAGTGCATTTGAACGATCTGACCCTTTCTTAATAATGTCTGAGCTCAAACAGCCTTTCTTTAAGCAAAGGTTCATTGTATTCAGCCTTGAGACTAAGCAGGCAGTTGTCATCTGTCACATTGCTCTGCCAGCTCCGCATCCCTGCACGTTCTGGTCACTCTGTAGCCTCCAGAACCTCAGAGGACTCCTGCCACAGTCCCTGTCCTTCCGGGGTCCACAGGAGCCCCCCATCCTGCTTCTGTTTGATTGGGGGTTGGGTGGCATGCCTCTGGATTGGTACCCTTCCCTTTTGGTTCATCTCCCTCTGGAGCTTTAGCGGGTGAATACAGAGTGTGCTAGGAGACAGCCTTCTGCGAAGCCTGCCAAGTGTGTCCAAGCAGCGCTGGGGAAGACTTGAGTTTCTGTGCCTGCATCCAGTAAGGTGAGCTAACTTGGGGAACTGTACTGGAGGCCTGGTTCATTGCAGAGGTGGTGTAGGGTCAGATTTTGACGTCTGTCTGGGACTCAGGCTTTTCCTCAGCCTTTGTTCTAGAGCATTCGGATGACAGTGGAAATGTCTCCGCTGTGCTGTCGGAAAGAAAACACAATTAGGAATGGCGTTTCACTAGGCGGTTCTGCCTTTCATCTAAAGTAATAACAGCCAAGTAATTCTGCAAGAACTGAAAGAAGCTAGTAGTCATTCTTAAAAGCAAAATCTTTTCCACCAAAACAGTAATACATTTTATTTTTTAAAAACTTGAAAATACAAAAGAATGACCTCACACAACCCCGCGGTGCAAAGGTCAGCATTGTTAACACTGGAGTTTGTGTCCCTTTCAGTTTTTATATACATTTTTAAATGACATTGAATTTGGGTACATTTTAGAATGAAATTGGGATAAGAGTAACAAACATCTGTTGAAACTATTCAGTGTGCCAGGGGGTCCCACTTGAAGAGGTGAACAGTTTATATACATTTTCTCATTGATTCCTTACAACTCTTCGAAGAATCATCGTCTCCATTTTCAGAAGAGAAGCTGAGACACAGAGGGGCTAAGTCTGTGTGACCTTTCTCCAAGGTCACACAGCTCTTAAGAGCGGTGCCAAGATAGAAACCAAAGCAGTCTGTTTCCAGAGCCCTTGGTCTTATTTTGATGCAGTACTGTCTCACAGTAACCATAGCTTAGATTACATTTGATAGAATTGTGCAGTATGTTCTTAGTTGTTTGGTTCTGTCTGCTTGTTCTGTAGATTCAGAAATGGAAGCCCATAGATAGGACTCAATTTACCCAAGAAAGCATAGATAGTAAATGTCAGCGCCCAAAGGAACACAGTGTCCTAACCCACATAGTGTACACTGAGTCTAGATAACCAGAAACCTTTGTCCTCCCTACATCCTAACCCTGAAACCAAGCTGCACTGTATAGTGTATTGTATAGGGTCAGTGCCAAGTCTGAATTAAACGGAGGGTGGACGACTCTGACAGCTTTCTTCTAGCACATACACGTAATTTCAGTTTGTGTTCAGGGAATTTACAGGCATCTAACAGTGATGGGTACAGCTGTCCCTTAACTATGCCATGCAGTGCTAGGGTTATAAAAGGGCAAAAGGTACAGCCCAGCATTAGTTCCAACTTTATACCCTCATCAGACATTTTTACTGACAAGCAGTAAGACTGATTGATTTCGGGCTTTAAATGTTGTGGCTTTCTCCAGTCTGGACTCTTGAGAACATGCCAAGCATTGTTAAATCATTAAGTAAGCCAAAAGTCATTTGGCAATCTATGCATAAACATTCCCGTGCATACGAGGCTGTCCTGTAACCAGATGTCTGTGAGAGCATGAGGCTTTGCACTGTGACTCAGAGTTGGATGGCCAGCCCTGGGGCAGCTGAGAATGAAAGGAATAAGAACAGGTGTTGACTTACTGCATGGTTTGGTAAAGAATAAAAACCTTTTTACCTTTAGATGTTGTTGTGGACTTCTCAATAGGGGATGCCAACCAGATTTTAAATAATCTTATCTGTGAGCTCCAGGAGGGCAAAAACAAGTTCTTATGAAACTCACAAACAGTGCTGAGTGAAAAATGACAAGAAAAATACATGTATACCACAGGCAAAACTAATGTATGCTGTTTGAAGTGAGGATCCGGGTTGCCCCGGAGGTGGGGGTGGTGGTGTTGTGATTGAAGGAGGACACAAAGGGGCTTCTGTTAGATTTCTTTAACTGGCTGCTGCTCACAGTGTGTTCAGTTTGTAAAGATTTGAGTATTTATTTTATTTGTACTTATTAAATGTACTCTTTCCTAAGCATAAATTGTGTTTCAATTAAAGTTTAGAAGTCCTTATTTGTATTTGTGTATCTTGTTGCACATTGATACTTGGGAAAAAACCTCTGTTTCATTGAAGCAGTTTCAAATGGTGCTGGATTTATTATCCAGGTATTGGGAAACCATCTTCACCTGGAATTGTCAGGGCTATGCAAGCAGAACATTTTTTCTTTCTTTCCCTCCCTCCCTCCCTCCCTCCTTCCCTCCTTCCCTCCCTCCCTCCCTCCCTCCCTCCCTCCCTCCCTCCTTCCCTCCTTCCCTCCTTCCCTCCTTCCTTCCTTCCTTGATGGAGAGTCATTCTGTCGCCAGGCTGGAGTACAGTGGAGCCATCTCAGATCACTGCAACCTCCATCTTCTGGGTTCGAGCAATTCTCCTGCCTCAGTCTCTCAAGTAGCTGAGATTACAAGCACGGGCCACTACACCCAGCTAATTTTTGTATTTTTAGCAGAGACGTGGTTTCACCTTGTTGACCAGGATGGTCTCCATCTCTTGACCTCGTGATCCACCCGCCTCAGCCTCCCAAAGTGCTAGAAATGTGTCTTAAATGATTCCAGTGTAGACTCCTTGGAATAAAGAAGGATGACACTTTGGTTCAGTAGACAAACATTTATTGACAGCCTCCTAGGGAAGTATTAGAACTTCAAGCTGTGTACAGCTAATGACATCATACCTCCCAAAAGGAGCTCGCAGTCTACAGGGGGTTAAAGTGCATGGGTGGTGATAAAAGGAGGAGTCAGGCAGTGCCACAAGACAAGCACAGAGCACCAGGCGTGTCAGAGAATAGAGAGGTGTTCCGCTGGGACTAGGAAAAGCTTCATGGCAGAAGAGGCATTTGAAATGGGTTTTAAAGAGTATGTAGGATTTCGATGAACATGAGTAGATGGGCAGGCGTTGTGAACATCATGCGTATGAGAAAATCCATAGGAAATTCATATATATTCTGAGAATTTAGGTTGTATGGTTCGCTTCAAGATATCATTTTTTTTTTTTGAGACACAGTCTTGCTGTGTCCCCCAGGCTGGAGTGCAGTGGCATGATCTCACCCCACCACAACCTCCACCTCCCAGATTGAAGCATTTCTTCTGCCTCAGGCTCCCAGGTAGCTGGGACTACAGGTGCACGACATCATGCCCAGCTAATTTTTGTATTTTTAGTAGAGACGGGATTTCACCGTGTTGGCCAGGCTGCTCTTGAACTCCCGACCGCGTGAACTGCCTGCCTCGACTTCTCAAAGTACTGAGATTATGAGCATGAGGCACCATGCCCAGCCCACTTAAAGATATTCTTAAGGTGTCCTTCAGGTGCAGGGTGAGGCCTGAAAGGTGGGCTAAGGCCTTGTAGTCCTATAAAGCCCTTCTTAATGCCTGCCAGATGAAATGATACACCAGGTGATATGATTTCATTTAGCAGGCATAACGAAACCAAAGGAAGTTTCTAAGATGTAGACTAGCATAATCAGATATAATTATTTCCTGTGAAGTCAAGTTTCTAGCCTCAGTGATTGTACAGTTACCATTAATTACCCATCTGCCCCAAATGAACGTTTTCTAAGTTTCACGCATTCTCTGTTGCTATCATTTGGGTCCTGTTTGGGTCCACTGAGGAGCCACAGGTACAGAGAGTCCTTGAGCTTCCTGTAGTTGACCCTCTAGGACTTAAAGATTATTGTACATCATCTTTATTCCTCATCCCCATCCTTCCCTCTTGACCAGGTGAAGTCACAACTCCTTTATCCTTTTTTCATATATCCTGCTTGCTAGTCTGTGATGGGGCATTTACTTCCTTCCAGCTTCTTCTATATGGTGCTCCTTTGCCAGATAAAGCAACCAGTGTCACTCATGTATGACAAAATTGTGCACTGGAAGAGAGGGGCCAGGAGCTAATGCTAACGAGTGTTTGTAAGTTGTGGAGGAGGCCTGGCCTGCCCATCTGGGATGGTGTCCCACTCTGCTTCTGTGCTCTCTCCTCTGGAATAAAGCACTGGGCAGGATTTATGTGGTGAAGTGTTAATGCTCATTGCTGGGTATGGTCCATATTTGGGTCTGGATCACTCAGTCTATTAGTCTGTTCTCATATTGTTATAAAGAAGTACCTGAGACTGGATAATTTATAAGAAAAGAGGTTTAGCTGGGCGTGGTGGCTCATGCCTATAATTCCAGCACTTTGGGAGGCTGAGGTGGACAGATCACCTGAGGTCGAGGGTTTGAGACCAACCTGACCAACATAGAGAAATCCAGTCTCTACTAAAAATACAAAATTAGCCAGGTGTGGTGGCCCATGGCTTTAATCCCAGCTACTCAGGAGGCTGAGACAGGAGAATCATTTGAACCCAGAAGGCGGAAGTTGCAGTGAGCCAAGATTGTTTCACTGCACTCCAGCCTGGGTAACGAGTGAAGCTCCATTTAAAAAGAAAAAAGTTTAATTGGCTTACGGTTCTGCTGGCTGAACAGAAAGCATGGCTTTGTCTGCTTCTGGGGAGGCTGCAGGGAGCTTTTACTCATGGTGGAAGGCAAAGCAGGAGCAGGCACTTACCATAGTGTGCAAGAGAGGGAGGTGCTACACACATTTAAAGAACCAGATCTCAGGCGGACTCGCTACTATGAGCACAGCAGCAGAGGGATGATGCTGAACCATTCATGAGAAATCCACCCCCATGATTCAGTCACCTCCCACTAGGCCCCACCTCCAACACTGGGGATTACAATTGAACCTGAGATTTGGATAGGGACACAGATCCGAATCATATCACTCAGTGTGAGATTCATTGATTTTTTTACTATTTTTTTGCTATCAGCCTACGAGTCCTTTAAAAAAAGGTAACATGCTGAATATTGTCTTGCTTCTCATTTGATTTCTGTTGAGACTTTATATCAAGACATTATTCTAATCAAGGGGATATTAACTTGACAAATGGATGCTTCAGTTTAGATCTTAAGACTTGTTTGGAGATTGTGTTTGAACTCTGCAAAGAGCCGTTTTTTCATCCTCCGGGGACATCAACAGTAGAGTGAACTGACATGGAAAGAGGATTACAGTTGGGATGGCTTGGATTCAAATTCTGGCCGAATCCTCTGTTTCTGCATGTTAATGAATTTAGCGTGTCCTTTGTCTGGCATAGTAGTGAAGCATGCAGAGGCATCCTTAGACCCTGGCCCACGGTCTACTTCTGCATTTTCCTTTCAGAGTGCAAACTTGTAACCCCTTCACCAGGAGGCTCAATGCTACCTTGCAGTTCTTTTCTCTAAATGGCCCATGTAGTCTTAGTTTTATCATACTTTTCTTTTCTTTTTTGAGACAGTCTCACTCTGTTGCCCAGGCTGCAGTACAGTGCACAATCTCAGCTCACTGCAACCTCTGCCTCCCACGCTCAAGTAATTCTCCTGCCTCAGCCTCCCAAGTAGCTGGGATTACAGGCGCCCACCACCATGCCCAGCTAATTTTGTATTTTTAGTAGAGATGGGGTTTCACCATGTTAGCCTGGCTGGTCTCAAACTCCCAACATCAGGTGATCCACCTGCCTCAGACTCCCAGAGTGCTGGAATTATAGGCGTGAGCCACCGCACCTGGCTCTTTTGTTTGTTTGTTTATTTATTTATTATTTTTAATCACTGTGGTGTGGTTTGGAGTTGTTTCCATTTCTAAATACTGTTGTTTTACCCAATTGTTAAAGTTAATCTTGTACCATATTATTCTGTCACATCTTTTTAATTATGCCATTAAGAAAATAATGTTCTTGTATTGATGGATGTACCCGCTGGTATCTTTTTCCCTATCTTTCTTCCTTTTTAAAAGATTCTCCGTCTATTAAGTGAGTGAGTTCTGTGTAGGATACATTCCCTATAGTGGTGAAGTTCCCAATGAATGGGGTGTGGCAGGCATTCTAGTTGCCTGGGCACTTTGGGAGACCAGGACAGACTGGTGACCTCATTGTATTTTGCATTTTCTACCCTGGGAACCAAGTTACCTAAATCTCATCACACAAGAAACTGGATAGCCTGGGAGATCTGAATCTCACAGCTACTTAGTGTGGATGGATGCAGGAAGGAGCCAGGCTGCCCCTATGTTCAACTTGAGGGGACAGCAGAGGGGTTTTATCCTGTGACACTTGGAGTTTGAAAATCTGGGACTTAATATATGTATATTGTATGTGCACAGGTTCTATCACAGTAATTATCTCTTTGACTTCAGATTTTAATGTGCTTCTTTCCTGTCTCTTTCAGGTAGAACGTCATGACATGAATACCTTAAGCCTGCCCCTGAACATACGCCGAGGGGGGTCAGACACCAACCTCAACTTTGACGTACCCGATGGCATCCTGGACTTCCACAAGGTTAAACTCACTGCAGACAGCCTGAAGCAAAAAATTCTAAAGGTAACGGAGCAGATAAAAATTGAGCAAACATCACGCGATGGGAACGTTGCGGAGTATCTGAAACTAGTTAACAGCGCGGACAAGCAGCAGGCGGGACGTATCAAGCAAGTCTTTGAGAAGAAGAATCAGAAATCAGCTCACTCCATCGCCCAGCTGCAGAAGAAGTTAGAGCAGTATCATCGAAAGCTCAGAGAGATCGAGCAGAATGGAGCCCCCAGGAGCTCAAAGGACCTTTCCAAAGACCACCTGAAGGACATTCACCGCTCTTTGAAAGATGCCCACGTGAAATCTCGAACTGCACCCCATTGCATGGAGAGCAGTAAATCGGGCATGCCAGGAGTATCACTCACTCCACCTGTGTTTGTTTTCAATAAGTCCAGAGAGTTTGCCAACCTGATCCGGAATAAGTTTGGCAGCGCCGACAACATCGCTCACTTGAAAAATTCCTTAGAGGAGTTTAGGCCAGAGGCAAGTGCCAGGGCCTATGGGGGCAGCGCCACCATCGTCAACAAACCCAAGTATGGCAGCGATGATGAGTGTTCAAGTGGCACGTCAGGCTCGGCCGACAGTAACGGAAACCAGTCCTTCGGGGCTGGTGGAGCCAGCACACTGGACAGCCAGGGGAAGCTCGCCGTGATCCTGGAGGAACTGAGGGAGATCAAGGATACCCAAGCTCAGCTGGCCGAGGACATCGAGGCACTGAAGGTGCAGTTTAAGAGAGAATATGGTTTTATTTCTCAGACCTTGCAGGAGGAGAGATACAGGTATTTCAAAGTATTTGATTGGTGGCATTTTTTTTTAATTTTTAATTTTAGTGGGTACATAATAGGTGTGGCATTCTTTTAGATGTATAAGTTACTGCAGAGAGATTGTCTGCTTGTTGTATTTTCACTAAATATAGATATGGAGTAAAAAGCATTCCCTATAGTGGTGCATCCCTCATTCGAATATCTGAAATCCAGAATGTTCCAAAATCTGAAACTTTTGGAGTGTCAACATGATACCACAAGTGGAAAATTCTACACATAAATAACACAAACTCAAGGCACAAAATTATTGAAAATATGGCACACTGTTACCTTCAGGCTACATGTATATGGAGCATAGGAAGCAAGTGAATTTTGTCTTTAGACTTAGGTATCCCTGAGGTGTCTCATTACATATACACAAATATTCAAAATCTGAAAAAAAATCAAAATTTGAAACACTTCTGGTCCCAAGCATTTCGGATAAGGGATACCCAACAATTTTCATCCATCATGATGCCAAGTTTTATAATTTGTGGCTTTTAGCTGACAATTTAGAGAAGGATATATGTGTGATGGGTCCCTTAAAATATCAGTTACAGGCACCGACTCATGTGTGTCCTAAGATTCTGATTCAGTAGACTTCTGTTATTGTGTTATTATGCTAATTCAGAGATCTATATTTGATTTCCATCCCTAACAACTATTAAGTGAAAAACACTAGTTCATTACCCAACAAAGTTAATTTTATTTGGTACGTCAATCTTGACATCCTTATGTAATATATATTTTTTCATGTTTTGTACTTTACTCATTAAACTTTTTACTCTAAATGAAGAACTTGCCAAAGTCATCTTGAGATTAAAGTATACAGTCAAACCTTGTGGCTTGTATTAGCTAATTTTAAAAGTAGATGTTTTGTAGGCTGGCTTTTAGGGGCTTATAGCTTATTAACAAAAAGTGTGTAAGCCCAAATATAAGGTCATTTTCCCCATTTTTCTAATAAACAGATACTTCAAAAATTTTTTAGTGAACGTTAGCAATACATTAACTTCTTAAAATGTAGATAAAATAGTAAAATGCCTATTACAAACTATAACATTAAAAGTTTAAATTTAGCTTACACATTGTGTTATAATTGATGTATGATTTTATGTCTGTATTAATTTAGAAATGGAGCTTTTTCAATTCTCCTATTTTATGAAACAAAATTTTTTTCTATATATATCTCTGGAATCTTTTACACAAGAATTATTTTTAAGTCACAGCTTTTCCAGACCATGAACATCAATTCTGTCCAGATAGTCTAGGATATAGCACTTTTTAGATGTACATTTTCTCTCAAGTTACAGATCCCCATTTATGTGAGTTCAGGATGGTTTCTGTTTGTGTCTGTCCTGTGGTTACGTTGGTGACCCGTGTCACTTCCTGTATTATTGAAGAGACCTTTAAAGGCTTATTCACAGCAGTAGCAGCATTTGACATCTGAGAAGTCATGCCTGAGAATAAACATTAAATCTGGATGAAGCTTTTTGGTCTCCAAATAAAATGGTTCTACCAGGTGACCTTTGTAAGCATCTGAAATTGGCATTGATCAAAGTCATTTCAGGGTAATGAATGCATCTTCTCCAAACAGTGCATCCTGTTTCACAATACACAGTATGAGGTTTTTTGTTTTGTTTTTTGTTGTTGTTGTTTTTACTCCTATTTTTTGAGATGGAGTCTCACTCTGTCACCCAGACTGGAGTGCAAAGGCATGATTGCAGCTCACTGCAGCCACCACCTCCTGGGTTCAAGCGATTCTCCCATCTCAGCCTCCCAAGTAGCTGGGATTACAGGCACATGCCACCATACCCAGCTAATTTTTGTATTTTTAGCAGAGATGGGGTTTCACCAAGTTAGCCAGACCTATCTCGAATTCCTGACCTCAGGCGATCCACCCACCTTGGCCTCCCAAAGTGTTAGGATTATAGGCATGAGCCACCACCATGCACGGCCAAGGTTTCAAATATGAGAAGAATCATCTTCAGTGAGAGGGACAGGACACAGAATGAGAATCTTTGTACTTCTGTTTAGATTTGGACATTTGGAAACACCACATGATGGACCATCTATATTTTGTAATAACCTTAATTTTGTATTGTCACTTAGGTTCCAAGAGCTGAAATCCATAATCAGTGCATGTGTGCGTGCTGGGAGTTAGTAGAGTTGGCTCCAGAGTAGAAGGTGATACTAAAAGCATGGTGCTTTCCCTGTGAGTTTTCTGACCTTGAACCACAACAGTAGTGTCAGGACAGAAGAGGGAAAAGGCACCGCAGACACCAGAGGTCCTGGCCCTCATTTAGCAGGATTCCACAGGGCCCTGTCTCCTGCCTGACCCTGGCAAGTGCGTCAGCTGACAAGCTCTATCTTGAGGTCACTGCAGTTAGCTAAGGTGCTAATCTGACCCCTGTGCACCTTCAGTGGCAAGAACAGAGTCAAGACCCCAGAGACTGGGTCTTTCCAGATTTGGGAGTCAGTTTTCTCCAAAAGCACATTTCCCACAGCAAGCCTTACTCTTTTGGAAAAAGAGCCCATCAGGGGATGAGAGCAAGCCAAAAGATACTGGCAAAGGAAGATAAAAAGAACATTGTTCTGCAGTGCGCTGTGAAATGTCACACTCAGAATTGGCTCCTCTCTTTTAAAGGTATGAGCGACTGGAGGACCAGCTGCATGACCTGACGGACCTGCATCAGCATGAGACAGCCAACTTGAAGCAGGAGCTGGCCAGCATCGAGGAAAAGGTGGCCTACCAGGCCTACGAGCGCTCACGGGACATCCAGGTACCTTTCCCTTCATGATTAGACACAGGCCTGGGCTCTTCCCAGGCCTTAATTCATTTAATAGACTAAGTGCTTACGCCTGAGTCTTAGAGGATTTCTGGCACACAGGACAAAATGTATTCTCTGCACAAACATGTTCTCTGTACCATGTTAACCCTACTAGCTCATGTTATAGACATTATTAAGTAAAAAAACAATATTCTATTTTTTTTGAGGCAAGTCTCACTCTGTGGCCCAGGCTGGAGTAGAGTGGGTGATCTCAGCTCATTGCAACCTCTGCCTCCCGGGTTTAAGTGATTCTGCTGACTCAGCCTCCTGAGTAGCTGGAAATACAGGCACCACCACTCCTGGCTAATTTTTTTGTATTTTTGCTAGAGATGGGGTTTCACCATGTTGGCCAGGCTGGTCTCAAACTCCTGACCTCAAGTGATCTGCCCACCTCAGTCTCCCAAGTGGTGAAATTACAGGCATGAGCCACCATGCCTGGCTAAGAGACAATATACTTTCTGCCTAAATCAGTTAACAAGTATTTATTATCCACCCCAAGCCCATCACCACCAAAACTGTAAAATGTAAAAATATAAGATAAACTGCCTTAAGGAAGCTCATTGTCTGGGTGGAGAGCGTGGGATAGCACAACTGCCAAATCCCTCAAGACAGCACAAACAAGGGCCGAGTAACACGACACGGACTCTGTAAGCCACAGAAGTTTAGCCATGTGGTGCCCAGCAAGCTGCGGACTGGGGGAGCAGTCAGTCATTTAGTGGCAAAACATTGGCTTCCAGTCTCATGGCTGCCACATCAGTTGTGTCGCCCTGAGTAAGACTTGAGCCCATTCACTCATCTGTAATATAATAGTGCTCATATTTGTAAGAAGTTAAAGCAATTCAGTGCGTACTGTGTGCTCAATAATAGCAAAGCACTTGACAGGTTTCTTTTTTCCCATTTACTTCTCAGTAACCCTTGAAGGTAGTTACTGCTATTATCCCCACTTCTCAGATAAGGAGACCAAGGCACAGAGAGGTTAAGTGGCCTAAACAAGGTCTTGCAAATCCTCCTTATGGAAGGAATGTAACTGAATGTCCTAGAGAAGGCGGGACTGGAAGGAATGGGTAGGATCTGGGTGGATGGAAGGAAAGGATAATGGGATCAATATAAACTAAGGTGTGCTCCAGTATTACCTAATGTGATCCTGGCATGTAGAGAAACAACCCCAGGCTTCTTGATTGCCTTAAAAAATGTTTCCCAGGGCTGGTGGCTCACACCTGTAATCCCAGCACTTTGGTAGGTTGAGGCAGGAGGGTCACTTGAAGGCAGGAGTTCGAGACCAGCCTGGGCAACATAGTGAGACCCCCATCTCTAAAAACAACTTTTTAAAATTAGCTGGGTGTGGCAGTGTGCACCTATAGTCCCAGCTGCTCAGGAGTCTGAGGCAGGAGGATGGCTTGAGCCCAAGAGTTCAGGGTTAAAGTGATTGTGCCAATGCTCTCCAGCCTGGAGAGCGACAGAGTGAGATCCTATCTCAAAAGAAAAAAAAAAAAACAAAAGACTCTTGGAGCAATGCCCAGCTTCATTTTTATGGATTTTTTTTGTGGACAGTAGTCCTTTTCTCCAGCTCTAGGAAGTGGCCTAAACAAGGCTGTGAATCCAAGCCCCACTTAACAAAGGAGAAAATTAAACATAAAGATAGCGCTTTCTCCTGTAGTGTGTGAGCTGGAGTTTCAGCCGGCCACATTTTATTCCACTCTGTTGAGGCCTGAGCCTGTGCTAATCCCAGATGCCTACTTGGACAATTCTGGGAACCAATGCATCAGAGCTGATGGGAAATTCTGCCCCTAAAGACCACAGCACAGAAGACGCTTGGGAGGTTTCTGGCCCTGTTCTAGATTAGGAGACTTCGCTTCACCACTGGCTAATTCAAGAAACTTGAACTCATTTAAGTGTTAAATGTTGCCAAGTGGGCCGGCTGCAGTGGCTCATGCCTATAATTGCAGCACTTCGGGAGGCTGAGGTAGAAGGATCACTTGAACCAGGAGTTCAGGACCATCCTGGCCAACATAATTAGAAAAAAAAATTGTTTAATTATCATAGCTGGGCATGGTGGCATGCCTATAACTTCAGCTGCTTGAGAGACTGAGGAGGGAGGAGTTTGTGGCCACAGTGAGCTATGATCACACCACTGCACTCCAGTCTGGGCAACAGAGCAAGACCCTGTCTCCAAAAAACAAGTAAATAAAAATGTTGCCAAGTGAACAGTACAATTGCTTAACTAAGTCGTTCTATTTTAGAGCATGTTTTGGATGTCACTGTGTGGTATCTAAATACATGGTTTTCTTATTTAGGGGATAGTTTGGGTTAATAGTGTTCTATGTTTTAAGAATCATGTTAGTGGTGAAGAGGACAGATAAAGAGAGGGGACCACACAAAGGGAACTTAAAAATCCAGAGAGGTTCACTTTGATGTCTTCTGGTTTCACCTCTCACTCAGAATTACAAAGAGGACATCTGTGTGAATGAGTGGAGTGCCTTCTCTGTCATGATCGTTAGAATCCTGGCTCTCTCACCTCTGCTGAGTGGCCCTGGGTGAGTTAGTGCTGTGTACCTCTGTTTCCTCCTCAATAAAATGGAAATGTTAAAGAGCTCTGCCTCAAAAGGTTATAAGGAGGGTTAAATGGAGTAGTCATGTAAAGTATTGAAATCTTTGCCTGGTGCATAGTAAACAGCGGAAAAATAAATACTGGCCATTCTTTTGATCACATCCGGGAGTAGCCACGTCCCTCAGGCCTTCTAGCAGTTGGCCTCTTGACATCATCTTTATTTCTCATTTCTTTTGTTCTTATAGGCAGGGTCACACAAAGGGAAAGGGCTGCTGTGGATGAGGGAGGCTGTTGCCTGCAGAGATAAAGGAGTTTTGTTGTTTTAAACAACTGAGTCATTTTTTTAAACCCTGAATTCCCAGTTGAAACTTGTTTCAGGATAACCGTTTTATGGTCGTCATCCCCAATAAGGTAATTACTGGACCCAAGAAAGTACCAAAAATGGTGGAGCTGAATACATCTGGCTGCCGTGACTAAAGTTCCTTGCAATTCAATGCTTACTTTTCTTGGATTTTTCTTTTGGTTAAAAAAGTCTGACAGCAGTTATAAGACAGAATTAGGATTGGTCTATTTGTACATGTAATTCATCTTATAATCAGATTCACAGATTTGCCTAAAAGATTGGCCTTCTGTCTTGTTCCATCACCTTTTCTGTGCTATGCCTAAAATGGAGACCTTGGACCCAAGTGGTTGAAAAGAATGCATAATTTCAGGTACATGCCTGTGACTGTTGAAAGCCAGCGCTTTCTAGAACGTGAAGATCTGAAGAAGTTTTACCCTTTTCGTTGGTAGCATAGTATAATAGAAGTTACTATAGTAACAGAGAACCTGTTATTTGGCCCATAGAGTTATTCAGCAGAAGAAAAGCAAATCAGTCATGGAGCCATTATGCTTGTTTAAAACCTGAAAAGATGACTATATTTTAATTGAGCAAACGCAGATTGGCAATGTCTTAGAACAGAGAGGGGCACATTGTACTACCTCTAGTTAGGTCCTTTTCACCCAGCAGGCTCAGGTTTTTTTTTTAGACAGTCTCGCTCTGTCGCCCAGGCTGGGGTGCAGTGGTGCAATCTCGGTTCACTGCAACCTCCGCCTCCTGGGTTCAAGCGATTCTCCTGCCTCAGCCTCCCAAGTAGCTGGGATTACAGGTGTGTACCACCATGCCCAGCTAATTTTTGTATTTTGTTTTTAGTAAAGATGGGGTTTTCGTAAAGAACTCCCGATCTCAAGTGATCCACCCACCTTGGCCTCCTAAAGTGCTGGGATTACAGGCATCTGGCACTGTGCGCCTGTCCAGCCTCACATTGTCTCACTGGCACACAGCTGTCTCTTCATATTCGCCTGCTGCATGCCTGGTGCTGGCTCTGTGCTGGAGAGGACAGCAAATGCAAGATGGGCTAGTTCCTGTCCTCAGGCAGCGTATGTCTCCTATGTCTCGTGGTTGGGGAGGAGAGCTGAAGGGAGACTTGACCTAATCTCATGGATCAGGAAAGGCTTCCCCAAGGATGTGGCAATCAAGGTGAGACATGAAAAATGAGTGGGAGATCCACAGGTGAAGAGGAGGGAGTGGGGGAGGCACACGCCTCAGGCAGAGTCTACTGAGTGTGCGGAAGCCCTGAGGTGAGTCTGTGCTTCTTTTCAGAACTTAGAATAAAGCTGGGTGTCGGGGCTCTCACTTGTAATTCCAGTCATTCAGGAGGCAGAGGCAGGAGACAAGAGGTTGAGGCTATAGTGAGCCATGGCAGTGCCATTGCATCCTAGCCTGGGCAACAGGGTGAGACCCTGTCTCTTAAAAGAAAGAAAGAACTTGGAAAAGGCCAGAGCACTGTGACAGGGCAAGGGGCTGGCATGAAGTCATTCAGTGAGGGAGGAAAGGGTAGCTGACCTGGTCTTTAAAAGGCCTCAGAAGGCCATGGTAAAGATGGGAAAGGTTTTATGAAAAGGAGTGATATCAAATATGCACGTTTAAAAGAATATGCACTTGGGCTGCTGTGTGGAAAATGGATTCATGACGGTGGGGAACAAGAGGGTGTATAGGGAAATTTGTGTAAGGTTATTGCAGGCGGGAAATCCTGATGACTTTGATCGGGGTGCTGACCTGGTAGGCAGAGAGCCGGACCGGTTGAGCTAGAAACTGGATGTTGCCTCTGTGGCTGGGAGGCAGGTTGGTTGAGAAAGGTATCTGGGTATGCCTGTCAGGCTTCTGGTGTGAGGAACTGGGTGGACCATGGTACTGTACTCTGAGATGAGGGACACTGGAGGGGAGCAGGGTTGACTGCAGGCGTTGGGTAGCTGCAATACATGAAGCCACATTTGCACATGTTGCATTGGAGGTGCTTTCAAGAAGCTCTGATGGAGATGTCACAGGCACAGGGATCTATGACTTCATCTCCGAAGAGAGGCCTGGCCTAGAGATACACTTGTAGCGATCTGTGTCTCAGTGATTGAAGATGGAATGGATGAGATCCAGGGAGATAGCCTCGGAGTAACACCGCGTTCAGAGAGCATGCAAAAGCAGAGTTACCCCACACTCGGCCCCAGTCCCTTCCACTCCCTTCTCTCACCTTCCTTCACCAATCTAATTGATGGACAAAATCTTTGAGCAGTGGAAATGAGGACTGGCCATTGGAGATCCCACACACTCCTTGGCTGAAGGTGGAGTAGTCACAAAGTGGAACCTCCCTCCTTCTCTGCTTTGTCCCTGATGGCACCAACAGGCACCGATATTTTATAGCACTTTATTTCAAAAATACATAAAGTCAGGCCAGGCACGGCAGCTCATGCCTATAATCCCAGCACTGTGGGAGGCCGAGGCGGGCAGATCACTTGAGGTCAGAAGTTCGAGACCAGCCTGGCCAACATGGTAAAACCCTGTCTCCACTAAAAATACAAAAAGTAGCCAGGTGCGGTGATGGACAACTATAATTTCAGCTACTCAGGAGGCTGAGGCAGGAGAATTGCTTGAACCCACGAGGTAGAGGTTGCAGTGAGCTCAGATTGCACCACTGCATTCCAGCCTGGACGACAGAGTGAGATTCTGTTTCAAAAAAAAAAAAAAGGTAAAGTTGGCCAGGTGCAGTGGCTCATGCCTATAATCCCAGCATTATTGGAGGCAGAGGTGAATAGACCAGGAGGTTAGGAGTTTGAGACCAGCCTGGCCAACCTGGTGAGACCTCCATCTCTACTAAAACTACAAAAATTATCCGGGCGTGGTAGTCCCAGCTACTCAGGAGGCTGAGGGAGGAGAATCACTTGAACACAAGAGTCAGCAGTTGCAGTGAGCTGAGATCGCACCACTGCACTCCAGCCTGGTGACTGAGCGAGACTCCGTCTCAAAAAAAAAAAGAAGGTAAAGTCAAAAAAGCTTAGCCATACTTCCTCATTTGTGGTATTTTGTGGTCGCATCCACATGCTCTTCTATTTGTGAACAACAGGAGAAAATGAGCTTGGAGATTCTTGTTCCACATCTTTGTCTATTACCATCATCATCAGCTGGGGATTCGCAGCTGCCCCAGGCATTGGGCTTTCTGAGCTGGGGCTTTTGTGTACAGCTGAGCAAGCGCTCACATGTTGCTCAGGATCACAACAGCATTTGACCCTTGCTCTCCCTCTTGCCCACAGGAAGCCCTGGAATCCTGCCAGACTCGCATTTCTAAGCTGGAGCTCCACCAGCAGGAGCAGCAAGCTCTGCAGACGGACACCGTGAATGCTAAAGTTCTCTTGGGAAAGTGCATCAACGTGGTCCTGGCCTTCATGACAGTCATCTTAGTGTGTGTTTCTACCATTGCGAAATTCGTCTCGCCCATGATGAAGAGCCGCTGCCACATTCTCGGCACCTTCTTTGCCGTGACTCTTCTTGCTATATTTTGTAAAAACTGGGACCATATCCTGTGTGCCATAGAGAGGATAATAATACCAAGATGAAGCCACTGGTTCCTGCCTTCAAGTTCTTTCAAGTTTTTATTTTAAAGAACACTCTGTGCATACTACCAAATTTTACAATGAATGATTATGCTGACTCGTGTGCAAGAAAGACTAGGGCTGTGTGGTGTATGTAAATAACTAGAGTTCTCTTAACTCGGGAGCAGTTGCCAACTCAGTCCTTGTACTTGGTTAAAACGAATCTGTTTGAAAGCTCTCCTACCTTGCTCACTGCCTTAATCAGACCAATTTCCTGCCCACCTGACTAGCCCAGCGTGGTAAACCTCTGTATATTGAGACCTTGGAATAATTGGGTGATCCAGAAGAAAAGAGATCTTTCTCTTAAGTCTTTGTCAGAATTGAGCTTCACGATTGCTAATGGTTGTGTTTTCTGTAAGTCCTATAAAAAGCAAGGATGTGCATGATTCAGGGAATGAAGAACCACAGGCTTGGGCAGTGTGAAACACTGTGGCCTATGGAAACACAGGTCCCTGTGTGATCCACCCCGCTTGTCACCAGGTGACCATAGGTCCCGTCATGTACTCAGTGTCCGCAGCGGTCGTGTGTGACCCTGTAATGTGGAAATCTTACCACACACCTGTTTATCCAGCAAGTCTACCTGAGGGGTGTTGTTACACTTTAAATGGTAAGGCATAGGGATTTATGAATGGGGCTTTTTCTTTCTCATACCCAGGCATCCAACACCTGATTTTACCTGAACTGGCTAGCAAATGCCCAGCCTTCAGAGTGTGCAGCAAGGTTTTCAAATTCCTCATCAGACTGTGACTTTAACATTAATTTGGAATCCTGTGAGCACTACTCTGAAGGTTTGTGTTTTGGCAAATCTTTTTTTGTTTTTTGAGACAGGGTTCTGCTATTATTGCCCAGGCTGGTCACAAACTCCTTGCCTCAAGGTATTTGCCCACCTCAGCCTCCCGAGTAGCCAGGACTGCAGGCACAAGCCACCCTGCCTGGGTGTTTTGGCAAATATTGATTGTGATAAGCCCACCTGGAAGATGTGATTCGCTTTATGTGAGTCATTTTATTCACAGGTCTGTGAGGGACTGCAAAGCTTGCTCAGGAAATGAAAACAGATGATGGTCATGTTGCAGTTCTTCCCTTGAAGGACAACAGAATCATGGCCTATAAAGTTAAAGTGCACTGAGGTGTAGGAACACTGAACACATGAGGAAAAGAGGACACTGGGTGTGACTGAATGGCGGCTAGATTAGTGGGAGCAATTCACCTGGATGAAGATTGAGAGAGTCCTCTTCAGGAAGGGAAAGGCAAGCAAGAATGAAATAAGTCCAGTGTTTGAGCCAAAGTTACCACCTGTCTCTGCTTTTTTTTTCTTTTTTTTTTTTAAGATGGAGTCTTGCTCTGTTGTCCAGGCTGGAGAGCAGTGGTGTGATCTCAGCTCACTGCAGCCTCCGCCTCATGGGTTCAAGCGATTCTCCTGCTTCAGCCTCTAGACTAGCTGAGACTACATGCGCATGCCACCATACCCAGCTAATTTTTTGTATTTTTACAAAATACACCATGTTAGCCAATATGGTGTCGATCTCCTGACCTCATGATCCACCCACCTTGGCCTCTCAAAGTGCTGGGATTACAGGTGTGAGTCACCTCGCCTGCCCGCCACCTGTCTCTTAACATCTCACTGAACCTAAGTTTGTAGGTCTTAGGATGCCCACACTGCCTCTGACCTGAAAGCATTCAAATGTTAACATCCCTGTTTGGGGCATACCATTCAGCCCAGATGATGCTTTCCTTTAAATCTGTATCTGTGTGTATATAACAAAGAGGAAGATGTAAGCAATGTTCATGGAAACTGCTGTTGAGCCCCTTGTCCCACCACTGCCACCGTCTGCTGCAGGCAGGAAAGCATGAGAATACATTTTCTTTCAGAAGACATAAAGTCTCCTGGGTTCAAATTAAGTGCAATATTTTTCAAAGAGCTCTTCTTAGGGAAATCTCCTGAAGGAAAAAAATGTGACAGAATGTGCCATAGTCTGAGAGAATGGAATAGTTGAGCATTTAGTATAAGTCTGAGTGTATACGAGTGGGACTCATGCAGCTCAAACTTGCTTTCTTTTTTTTCCAAGTATATAGTTCAGTGGTTTTAGTAAATTTGCCCACTTGTTCAGCCATCACCACTAATTCCAGACCCACGCTTTTTAAAACAATAAATATCATTTCATGGACTCTTTGGTGATAAAGTATTTTGGATTCAGGGAAGAGGGAGTTATCAGTCCCACCCCTATCTCATGGCTATGTCTCCTTTCATTGTCAGACTCCCCCAGCCTCCATGTTGATGTGTATACACTGATCTTTCAAATCCAGGGGACAGATAAGTAGGCCAGGTGGAAGGCAGGGAGGCAGAGAGAATGCTGTTTTTCCTTTAGCTTTTATATTTCAATGGCCAGCATTACCCTTGACCTGTGGGCCTCAGACTCAGTGTGGGCTGAGAGCTGAGTAACTTACACTCCTAAATCAAGCTGGGGACTGGGTGGGCCCCTCTTGGTATCTGTGAATCTTTCCAAGCGTCACTTTGGACACACCAAGGATTGAATGCTGCTGTTAGTTTAGAGATTGAGAGACTTCTAACCCTTGAGGTGAAGGGCTTTGGGAGGGTCCGAGAAGACATAGGCCTCGTTCTCACACCAGCCCACACCATTCCAGTGCTCAGCCTAGCAAGTGTGCTTTAATGCACGCTTCTCAGACCTGTGATCTGTGTATCTTCTCCCCAGTGACGGAAGTAGAGAAGAGAATGGAAAACAGCATACTCCAACCCCTCTAGTCTGGAGCTGTTTTATAGACCCTGCTAGAAAGAAACTAGCTTTATTCTAAAATACTGTAGTCTATAATCCTCCTACCTGGATCATGAATTCCTTTTAAATAATTCATATTTTCATTGACTCTCACTAAATGTCAAATTGCCTTGTTTTCACTTGGATAGGCTCAACCTGCCTGGCATATTTATTTCACAGTCTTGTTGAAAGTTCATGAAACTTTGTACTTTTTAATAAGATGATACACTCAAGGAAACTTTTAATCTCTGCAGTTTATTCTCTTCTTAAGGAATAAACACTCCCACTGCTTGTTCTCTTCAGTGCGTAAAGAGATTAAATGACGTTTTAGAAATATTATAATTAAAAATAGTGACGTAGCTATAACATATGCTGGAATCAGATATTTGATTTATATTTGTGTCAAGTATAATCCTTTCTCCACACCTTTCATTTATAGTAAACATCTGGGGCAAATGCAAAGATGAAAAGTGCTTGTTAGACCAATCAGCACCTGTCACTAGCAGCCATTCCTGAGTGGTTGAAGATGCTGACATTGGATTCTAGCACTGGGTTTATGAGGTGACAGACTCTCCTGTGGATTTTGAGTTGGTTATTTCAAGCTCAAATTTTGAGTATGATTAAACCAGAGCAACCCCCCCCACCCCCGGCCAAAAAAAAACCCATAGTAAAACAGCAAGAAAGCACTCCATTGCTGGGTTTGGACAATGAACGTGGGATTAGTCCCAAATTTCCAGCTTGGAATGGTAGCATTTTTGCCTACGTGATCCTGATGTCCTATTGACAGATGGAAATCTTCTGAAACTCTGTCTCATTTTATCCGGTGAGGCTGTTACTCTTCTCTGTCAATTAGCATTCATGTGGTTTTTGCTCTTTCCAGCTCTGTCACTCTTGTTTTCATTTAAATATTGCCACACTCTGTGTGTTTATTGCCTTGCCATTTCTCTAGCATATCAGGTTTAATTATGGGTTCAGTAATAATGAGGAACTAGCTTCCCTCAGGCGACTAATTACTTTTGTCTTTTTTGGTCGGATTGTACAAAATTATTTTGCATTGAATGGGAACATTTTTGCAGTGAATCCAGATATAGTTGTATTGGTTTGGAAAAACATTTAAATATATTTATTCATAGGAACATGTGTGATTAAAGAACTTACTTTGCATGTTTCTGTAATTCTGAGGAGTGTGCTGGGAAGAAATGAGTGGAAGAAATGGCATCACTTAAAATTCAGGGTTTATGTGGAGAAGTGTTTTAAGGTTAGCGCATATACAAAGGAACGAGTTGGTTTAAAAAGACAAATCACTGCAAAGAATGAAATTGGCTTATTCACATCAAAAGTAGATGTTAAAAAATATGAAACAACTAACCTATAGTTTTCTGAAATCAGTACAATTATCTTTATAAGAAGCTAGAAAGTAATGTACCTTGATTGTTTTAGGAATGATTTATGTGTTGCAATTTTAATTTATTTAAAGCATGTCTGCTGTGTTTGTCCTAAGAGAAATGTTTCAACAAAACGTGCTCTGTGTTTAAGATATGTTTAGGCAGTAGTTCAACTCTGAAAGTAGAAACTGGAAATGTTTATTGTGAGATTTGTTGCGGAATTTCCATTTTGTGAGTTACTACATAGTTTCATGTCAGCCTAAAATTGTAAATTCCCTGTAGATCTCCACCCCATTGTGGTGTCATCAATGAATTCAAAGCCGGTGCCATTATTTTTTTAAATAAACACTTGATGTTAGCTTTGGTGTTAAATAAAGAGGTAGCTTTCTTAAATTTTCACATTTGTTGGAGGCCATCTCAGTAGCAAATGTGTGTGTGTGACCAATTTTTTAATAGATTTTCGTTTTTAGAGCACTTTCAGGTGCTCTAAAATTCACAGCAAAATTGAGCAGAAGGTACAGAGATTTCTCTTATAACTCCTGCCCCAGATAGGTATCGCTTCCCTCCATGTGAGCGACGTCTCCCACCAGAGTGGTGCTGTTGTTAGAACTGATAAACCTGCATTGACACACATCACTATCATCCAAAGTTCATAGTTTAGGGCTCATGGTATTGTCATTCTGTGGGTTTGGACAAATGTATGACTACGTGTATCCCCTATTACAGTATCACATAGAATAGTTTCCCTTCCCTAAAAATCCTCTGCTCCATCTATTTGTCCCTCTCTCCCCCTGTAATCAACTTTTAAACGAATCTTAAGTCTTCTACATAGTAGGAAGTTGGCGGTATGTGGCCTGTCGCTTGAGCCCTGGCAGGAGGAAGGGTGGTTTATTCACCGTCGTGCTAGCAAACATGTCCTTGTGTTGAAAAGAGGAAGTGATGGGGAGGACAAAGCAGAGCCTTTATGAGCTGGAATGGGACAACTAGGACAATGCCAATCTGGGCAGGCACAGGGCGGTAGCACAGGAGGGAGCAGATGCCTGACTCGAGCAGGCAGCTTCATGGGCTGTCTCCGGATTGTCTGGGGCTTTGGTGTCTACAATGCACTTGATTTTCATAGTGTGTGAACTCATATGAACTAGTCCAGTGATACAGATACCAATGCTAGTCCTACCAATGCTAGTTCCCCTTTATCCTCAGGGGATGCCTGAAACCTCAGATAGAACTGAACCTTGTATATATAATTTTTCCTAAAATACACACTTATGATAAAGTTTAACTTATAAATGAGACACAGTAAGAGATTAATGACTAAAAATAAAATAGATTAGGACCATATACTGCAAAAAAGTAACATATTACTGGAGCACAAGCAGTTCATCTGATAACTGAGACTGCTGCTAAGTGACTCATGGGTGGGAAGCGTCTACAGGGATGTCCAATGTTTTGGCTTCCCTGGGCCACACTGGAAGAAGAATCATCTTGGGCCACACATACAATACCCCAACATGACAGCTGATGAGCTGAAACAAAATCACAAAAAAATCTCATAATGTGTTGAGAAAGTTTACAGTTTGTGTGGGGCTGCAGTCATAGCTGTCCTGGGCCGCATGCAGCCCGTGGGCTGTGGATTGAACCAGCTTGGTCTACAGCATGGATACACGGGACGAAGGAAGGATTCAGGTCCCAGTTGGGACAGTACAGGATAGCGCCAGATTGGAATGGCACACAATGTAAAACTTAACAGTTGCTTATTTCAGGAATTTTTCTGTTTTTTTTTTTTTTTTTTTTGAGACGGAGTCTTGCTCTGTCACCCAGCCTGGAAAGTAGTGGCACCATCTCGGCTCACTACAACCTCCGCCTTCCAGGTTCAAAGGATTCCCCTGCCTCAGCCTCCTGAGTAGCTGGGATTACAGGTGCCTGCCACCATGCCCGGCTGATTTTTTGTATTTTTAGTAGAGACGTGGTTTCACCATGTTGGCCAGGATGGTCTCGAACTCCTGACCTCAGGTGATCCGCTCTCCTTGGCCTCCCAAAGTGCTGGGACTGCAGGGGAGAGCTATTGCGTCCAGCCGATAGAAAATATTTTAACTCCAGTAGCCCATGCTGTGTCCTGGAAAATGGAGCATAACTGAATATTTGGAAATCTTATGGGAACAACTGTTATTTTGCACACTATTGTCATTTGATGTCTGAAGATCAATACAGACAATGAAAGTGATTGAATGAAATATGTGTCCAGCCCAGCATATTCCCAAAGGTTGCATTAGGGACAACACCTTACCAATTCTACATTTCTCCGAAAAAATAAAAGAAATGGGGAAAAGTTCTGTTAGTTGGTTTCAAGCTTCATTAAGCATAGTGCTACAGAATAAAGCAATATTTCCCAGTTTGGAGTGATATATGGATTTTTTTCTTTTTTGAGATGGGGTCTCATTTTGTCACCCAGGTTGGATGTGCAGTGATGCCATTATAGCTCATTGCAGCCTTCATCTCCCAGGCTCAAGTCATCCTCCCTCCTCAGCCTCCCAAACAGCTGGGACTACAGGTGAGTGCTGCCATGCCCAGCTAATTATTTTATTTTATTTTTTTATAGACAGGATCTCACTTTGTTGCTCAGGCTGGTCTTGAACTCCTGGGCTCAAGTGATTCTCCCACCTTGACCTCCCAAAGTGTTGGGATTATAGGCGTGAGCCACCATGCCCCACCAGGACTTCTAATATTAGAAATTATTTTGGGTTGGGCACTGTGGCTCATGCCTGTAATTCCAGCACTTCGGGAGGCTGCAGTGGGAGGATTCCTAGAGCTCAGGAGTTCAAGACCAGCCTGGGCAACACAGTAAGACCCACTTCTCAAAATATAAAAAGAAAAAGAAGTTATCTTGTACATCTGAGGAGGTCCATAGTCCCATTTGACAAAGTAACTTAAAGTCTTAATAGCATTTAATAATAGCCTTTTAAAATTTGCAATTAAGTTTGTGAACATCTGCAGTCCCACAACTCTAGTCCAACTAGAGTTGTTTTCTAGTAGGTGTGATTATGAGATGTAGAAATCTATGGTTCACATAAGGAACATGGCAATCAATACCAAACAGCACCTTTCTGGGCATTCATAGATCAGGAACGACACCTGGCAGTCTTCAACATTTACTGCGTACAATGTGCTGTGCCAGGCGCTTTACTTGCACTATCAAATGTAATCATTCCAGCACCCAACAAGACAGGCACTACAGATGAAGAAATTGTGATTCAGAGAGGTAAAATAATGAGCAGCACCATGCAGCAGGTACTAGGGGAGCCCCAAGCTTGTGTTTCTCTAGCCTACCCAGTGACCACTACCCTATACTGTAGTAGAAGGAACTGAGCAACTGGCTTCTTGTCAGTCGGGGCTCACTTTAATCCTAGGACTGTAGCAGTCAGTCATGTGGCTGAAAATTGTGTGTTTCCACCTTCACGCTGCTGGCCATACTAGGTAAGGGGAGAGATACCTGAAGCCAGCATCCTTGATTTTTGAAGAGCCGTGAGCTGACAGATTTGTGGATAAAGAGAATGGAAAGCTATCATTACAGAAACTTTTACACCCTCCCTGGCTTCCTGAAATTCTTGAGGTTTGTAATTGGCAGTTGACGCAGCTGAGTGTTTTTCAGCTTTTTTGCTCGGCTCTGAGACAGTGACGTCTCTGGTGGCTTCTGCTCTGAGGCTGCATGACATCTGTTACCATCTGCGGTGGCTACCTCAGAAATCTCTCTTCTTGCTAAGCCAGCCAGAATCTCTCCCTTGCCAGGCCTTTAACTTGACTAAAGCGGTTAACAGGAACATGCGTCAGCCATGTTAACAGCTGTTTTGTTGGTGGTTACTCCACTCTGGCTTAGTGCTGAGAAGTTTTTTTTCTGGTCTGCTTAAAAATAAGCCACTGAATATTAGAAAGAAAATAGTCAGCCAGGCGCAGCAGCTCATGCCTGTAATCGCAGCACTTTGGGAAGCTGAGGCAGGAGGATCACCTGAGGTTGGGAGTTGGAGACCAACCTGACCAACATGGAGAAATCCAGTCTCTACTAAAACTACAAAATTATCCAGGTGTTGTGGTACATCCCTGTAATCCCAGCTACTCAGGAGGCTGAGGTAGGAGAATCGCTTGAACCCGAGAGGCGGAGGTTGCAGTGAGCCGAGATCCCGCCATTGCACTCCAGCCTGGGCAACAAGAGTGAAACTCCATCTCATTAAAAAAAAAAAAGAAAATAAAGTCATGTACTTTCTGGTCTGTACTAGGAGTGAGGGACTCCATTTGCTAAAGAAGCTCTCAGAGGCCTGGATCCTTCTCTGATTCTAGGACTGTCAACGTCACAAGCAACAATGCTAACCCAGCCTTCTACCAGGAGTTTCCTCCTGATAGTGCTTTTGAATTCTCTTCCTTCATCGTATTTCTTCTGTGTTTTGATGCCCAGGTCTTGTAGCTCCAGGGAACAGTGAGCTGTAAGACCCCAAAGCTTAGGCCACAAGCAGAAGTATATACATCGCCACACACAGTGGCTTAAGCCAGCAGAGACGCAAAGGCATGCTTGGATTCAGAGAGGTGGCTGTCCCCAAACATGGTCAGAATTGTTGCAAGGTGACTTCCTGCCATGCATTGTCAACAAGAAACAATTGCCTAAGAAAACCCATGGAGGCCAGGTGAGGCAGCTCACGCCTGTAATCCCAGCATTTGGGGAGGCTGAGGCAGGTGGATCACTTGAGGTCAGGAATTCGAGACCAGCCTGCCCTATATGATAAAACCCTGTCTCTACTAAAAAAAAAAAAAAAAAAAAAAAAAAAAAAAAAAGCCAAGCATGGTGGTGCATGCCTGTAGTCGCAGCCACTTGGGAGGCTAAAGCAGGAGAATTGCTTGAACCCAGGAGGTGGAGGTTGCAGTCCAGCCTGGTGACAGAGTGAGACTTTGTCTCAAAAAAAGAAAGCAAGCAAGTTCATGGAAACCATGAATAAGAAGGAAAGGAGGAGAACCATTTAGTCAATAAGCAATTATTCTCAAAAGAGAAGTGGAGGGATTCAGGAGGCCAGTGGCTGGCTCTCTGGGTGAGCTGCAGAGTGGCAGCTGTGTCCTTGGAGCTGATGGGGATCCTGCCTGGCCAGCTGCCCTCGGTCTTCTGGGTTTCTGGTTCACAAACTCATTTGTGGCCTCCCTGGGGATATTGACTCTGTGCAGGCTCCAAGCCAAGCTAGGGGGTGCTTGGTGGCCTCAGTGGACCCTTTCTACTGGGGACAGACTGAGCTGTCCGGCAGGGCAGAATGTTTCAGCTCCTTGGCAGCTGTCTGTGCTTGAATGTAAATCACTACATTTGCTTTCTCTTGTCAGGGATATTCTTGTCAGAGTGAATCCATTAGCATGAATCAATTTCACAGG